ATATTAGTATTTGTAATCTTTGGTAGGGAATATTATCAAACTATGAAGGTTATAGGAAGCTTGTAGAATAAACGAATGAATATTTTGATTGACACTAACGAGTACATACAACTTTATGGATTTGATGTTTGCAAAAGTGAATCAATATGAGTTGATTAAAATTGATCCAAGTAATAGTAAGAGTAGCTAATAAGAGTGATATCTTATGTGGATATATGTGTAAGAGTTTTAAATGGAAAATATAAGAGGAAACTTTTGAAACATCAATCTTTGTAATGCATTTAGGTCCATATGAGATGATTTTAAGAGTAACATGAATATATGTTCTAGGGGATATTACATGGAGTTTTAAACGGACATGGATGAAATTTAAATAGGATAGGAAGTTGTTTATACTTGTAAGGAAAGGGTGTTAACAATAGCAAAAGTAAAGAGAACAAGGAAATTCATAGGGCCATTTGCAAATAACAATCACCTAAATGGATCTAGTTAAGTTTACTAATGGGGTTTGAGGATCTAAAAGTTGAGAATTATATAATTGAAATTGAACAACAAATTCCACTAGAATTAAAACCACCATTTGAAAGGTTTGAAGATGTGTTTGTAGAACCAAAAGGATTGTCTCCATAGAGGATACATGACCATAAGATAATACTTAAGGAAAAAGCTAAATCTACGAGTATGAAGCCTTATATGTATCATTCTATTCAAAAGGATGAAACAAAAAAATAGGTTTAAGAAATATTAGAGAACTAAATTATTTGAGGCAATACCAGTCTCTTCTTTTCTTATGTGGTATTAGTTAAAAAAAATAATGATAACACATAGAGAATGTATATAGATTACGGGGGTTTGAATCAATTGATCGTCAAATATTGATTTCTAATTCCTATGATCGAGGAACCTTTTGATCAATTGCAAGGGTCAATTATGTTTTCAAAACTAGATATATGAGTCGGTTATCATCATATTTGAATGAATGCTTTAGACATACTAAAAACAATTTTTAGAACTCATAATGGACACTATGAGTATCTAACTATGTCATTTGGACTAACTAATGGTCCTAGCATCTTCCGGACCCTTATGAATGATGTTTTTAGACTTTTTTTATAACAATTAATTCTGGTTTTCTTTGATGATATCTTATTTTTTAGTAAAAACTTGTATGATAAGGTCTTCTATTTAGAAACTGACCGTCAAATATTGGTTTCTAATTCCTATGATTGAGGAACCTTTTAATCAATTACAAAGGTCAATTATGTTTTCAAAACTAGATTTATGAGCTGGTTATCATCATATTTGAATGAATGCTTTAGACATACTAAAAATAATTTTTAGAACTCATAATGGACACTATGAGTATCTAACTATGTCATTTGGACTAACTAATGCTCCTAGCATCTTCTAGACCACTTACGAATGATGTTTTTAGGCTTTTCCTATGAAAATTAATTCGATTTTCTTTGATGATATCTTATTTTTTAGTAAAAACTTGCATGATCGAGTCTTCTATTTAGAAACTACCTTATCCATCTTGAGGAAAAACACATTATTTGCTAAAAATCCAAATCCACCTTTAGAACTTTAAGAGTGTAGTACTTGGGACATCATATATTTAGAAATATATCCACACCGATCCTAAGAAGGTTGAAGCTATGCAACGATGGTCGGTACCTAAGATTCTTAAGCAATTTAGACGATTCTTAGGACTCATTGGTTATTATAGGAGATTTGTGAAGAACTATAAAAGGATAGATAATCCATAGGATGCATTTGTATGGAGTCCTTTGGCGAGAAAAAGCTTTTAAAGGTTTAAACAAGGCCACGATAACAACTCTTGTGTTGGTATTGTCACGGTTGAAAGAAGAATTTGTGATAGAGACCGATGCTTCTAGTATGGTAATAGGGTTCTAATACAAAATGGTCATCTAATTGCCTATGTTAGTAAACTTATATCCCTTAAACATTAGTCATTATCAGTTTATGAAAATGAATTGGTCGTGGTCTTGTTTGTTATTAAAAAATGGCATCCTTACTTGACTAACGGTTACTTCATCATTAAAAGTGATCATCAAAGTCTTAAACACTTGTTAAAACAAAAAATACATATTGTCAATCAGTTTAATTAGTTGGTTAAACTAATAGGGTATGATTATGAGATTTTTTATAAAAAAAGAAAGAGAACTTAACGGTAGATGCTTTGTCCAAGGTACAACTAGCTACGATGGTTGGCTTTTCGATCCTTAGTAGGTTAATGGATAAGATCAAGGATTCTTAGAAATCAAACCCTACCTTAGCGAGCAATCATATCTCGGTTGCAATTTTCTCTAATAATTTTTTTAAAATATAGTTGGTAAGATCGGTAATTACGAAGAAAGGGCGGATTAGTGATAGGAAAGGATCCAGAGTCGCGTAGGGAGTTAATCTCTTATTTTCATAATTCTTTTATAGGTGGATATTTTAGAGTAAAGGTTACTCGTTAAAAAAATGTCAAAAAGCATGCAACATGCCAGTGTGTAAATATGAAAATATAGCTAATCTAGGTTTGCTACATCCACTACCTTTATCTCTATTTTTACTAATATTACCATAGATTTTATTGAGAGGTTGTCATTATCTCATGAAAAATCAGCTATATTTATGGTGGTGGATAGGTTGAAGAAGTATGCATATTTTATGGCTTTAGCATATCTTTACACTACTAGTTCAATGTGTAAATTTTTTATAGAGTAGGTTTATAAGCTTCGTCGATCGCCCTTAAACATTGTACTTGGATATAGACTCTATCTTCCTTAGTAAATTTTGGAAAAAAGCTATTTTTTTTATTAAGGGGTTACTTTAAAATTTTCCATTCCATACCATCCACGAGATGGATGGCCAAACATAAGTGGTTAATAAGTGTCTACGGACTTACTTAAGATGCATGACTTCTTCTCTCCCCGATGTCCGGTGTAGATAGTTGTGCTTGGCTGAATATTGGTATAATGCATCCTTCCACACTTTAATCAAGCGATCACCGTTTGAAGATTTATATGGTTACCCTCCTCCTCTTCATTTATCTTATTTAGCAAATGGTTACAAGAAAACAAAAGTAAAAGCTTATTTATAGGACAAGAAAAACATTATTATCTTGCTTAAGGAGCATTTAACTCGAGCATAACAACATATAAAATTATAAATAGATAAAAGAAGGATTGACAAGTGTTCTAGATTGAGGATTGGGTGTATCTCATGTTGCAAGCTTATGGGTAATAATCTGTGGTTTACGGAAAAAATCAGAAGTTGTCTCCTAGATATTATGGTCCTTATCATTGATAACATTAAGAGATGGCTTATATACTTTAACTCTCTCTTGAGCATTTAATATATCTCACATTTTATGTATCACAACTTAAGCATGTTCATCACAACATTACAATACAAGACCATTTATTAGCATCCTTAGTATTACCCATAACTCCAGTGACCATTCTAGATAGGAAAATGGTGAAATGAGGTAATCAAACTGCTATCACACTCCTTATTCAATGGTTAAATGGCACAACTATTGATGTTATTTGGGAGTTTGCATTTGATATGGCAAAATATTTTCCTAGTTTTAACCTTGAGGACAAGGTTATTTAAGAGGGGAGTATTGATGCAACTATATTAATGAGCTAGGTGTTTTGAATATGTTTTGACGGGGTTTAAATGGTAGAGTGACTACTATGTAAACGTGACATCTATGACGTGGTTTGAGACAATTGCTTGGATTAAATTCATCAACAATTATGAATTAATTACAACACAATAGAGCGAGCTGGAATTGTTAGGATTTAGTTAGAGAGTTAGTTAATGTGTTTGTTAGTATGGGGAGAAGTGTTTATGGAGGAGAGAGGCTCATTTTGTAATAGGTAGGCAAAACATTATTTTTTTCCCTCTCCGGATTTTCTCTCTAGCTTCTATATTCCGTATTTCTTTCTAGCATTTGATGAATTCTTTTACAAACTATTGTTGAATTTACTTTTTCTTTTGCAATTGTACCATAACTCTCACTTGGATTCAATGCAAAATTGCTTTCCATCCTTGCAATATTATTCAACTGTTTTTCGTTGTTTCTATTTGAAGTTGCATCACCGACCAAGCCTACCCAAGCCAATATTTTGTGCATAAATTTACTAATATAAATTTATCTTATTAGTTCCTTTATTTTGAACATAACATCTTAATTTTGAGAAGACTACTTTTAGATCCGGAAGATTGATGTCCGAAAAATATTATAGGTAAATTGAAAATGCGAGATATCTTTGGAGGGCAATTTGGTCATTGAAATAGTAAAAAAACCAAAAGCCCATATATATATATTTTGTATGTTTAAATTGTCAAATATCTTTCGAAGTTGATGAAAAAAAATTATATTTCTAAATTAAAAAAATCTCTATTTTTACACTTTAAATAATATTATTTTTTGAATGTGCTTCTTTAATCAAGGTTTTATCAAGGAATTGATAAAAAATTATAAAAATCTTTTTAAATTTTTATCTCGTTTTTTGTTTCCTACTAGCTTAGAAGAATATGTTTATTAGTAGAGAAAAGAGAGTAATTGAGATGATATGTAAGGGTTTTTTGTCAAAAATTTTCAATAGAATCTCAATAGAAGGGATAAATTAAAAGAATCATACTTGTTTAGGGAGCAAATTTAAAAATGTTTTAACAAGGGTGTTTTTCCTCTCAAAGTTCAAGGATATTTTACCATTTACCCCTTGTTTGGATAGGGAGGAAAGTGGGGGAGAGGAAAGAAATGTTTTCCTCCGTTTGGTTAAGAGAGGAAAGCGAGTGGAAAGAAAAAAATAATAATAAAAAAACGTATTTTAAGTGGGACCCATTTTTCTCTCAAAATTGGGAGGAAACTGGGAGGAAACGCACAACAATGAGATCCGAATATAGAAATTCTCATTTTTGCCCTCATCCGCATCATCCGTCCCTCTTCATTTCTCTTGGAGAGAACCGAGTTACTGATGAGGCTTGATTCGCAAAGTTTATGGTTTCTTGGTCGCTCGGCTTGCCCTCACCACCATCGTCTCTGCTGTTACGGTTCTTTATACTCCCATGATCGATCTCCTCGAGGGCAGTTTTGGATTCGTCTTGCTTCTATCAATTTTTCCCTTTATTTGTAAGTACTCACAATTCAAGATCTCTACTTTCCTTTTGTTTCTTTCTTTTTCCTTTCTTGATTTGTTTATTTGCTTTAAATTCCATGTTTTAGGATTTTTTTGTTTGGGGTTAAAGATTCAAACTTAAAATTGGGTTTATGTTTTCTTGATTTGTATTTTTTTTCTTGATTTAATCTGAAATTTTGGGACTTGGGGTTAAAATTGGAACTTGAATCGGAGCCTCCGGGTTTCTTGTTAAAGCTGATGTTTGAAATGATTTAATAGATCATTGGCTCAATTCAATCACTTGCAAGAGGATTGTGAATTTGCTTATTTCTTGGAAATTTTGTTCTTTTTTGTGGAGATGATTCTAAAAGAAATTTATTAAATAGATCTTATGGAGATGATATACTTGGTTTACTGATTAATGCCTTAAAAACTACTAATAAGAATCTCAAGTTGCGCATGGACGAAGTCATAAATGAGAGCAAACAATTCTTTTTTTTTTTTTCTGGCCTGGAGTCCACTGCCAATCTATCAAGTTAGACCATATTCTTGTTAAGCTTACATCAAGAATGGTAAGAGAGAGTTAGGGAAGAGGTGCTAAGGGAATGCAGGATGGGAATTCCTGAAGCTGATGTGCTTACCAAGTTGAAAGAGGTAAACTATATATGCAATATTAATATTCCTCTTAATTTTAAGTACTATAACAAAGCATATATAGTTTTAAATTAATGATTGATGAAAGGGCTTTTATTTAATTTGCAGGTGAACATGGTTCTTCTTGAGACTTTGAGGCTATATGGTGCAGTGGATATGGATAGAGAGGCAGCAAAAGATATGAAATTAGGGAATTTGATGATTCCAAAAGGTGTATGTGTAACAATTCAATTTGTGAAGATTCATAGGAGCAAGGATTTTAAGGTTCAATTAGAAGATGAGTCGGAGACTCGGCACCTTGCATCGCACCCTGACTTGAACTTGCCAAAGAATTTTGGGAATTCAGCCATGTTCAATGAGTCCATAGCTGTTGCTAAATTCCAAGGACGGCCACTTGCTGATCACAAATCGGTAAAGAATGGCAGGCCTCCTGGTGCACTTCTCCAGCCACGTCCTCCTCTAGATGCGCCCACAGTTGCAGAGGCAATCACTTGACTTTGCAGCCACAATATGGAGTCCCTGTTATTATGAAACCTTTTCTTCTTTCAAAATAATAGCCTAATTCCTTGGCAGTATCTCCAAATTTGCCAAATTATTACATATTGTTGAATGAACTTCTTCATTATTAACCAATCTTCTTTTCAGAGAGAACATATCTCTTGAAATGATTTAATAAACTCTTTTTCGTGGATTGCTAAATAATAATTTTTTAATCCAAAATAAAAAAAAGTTGAGAAAAATTATGGATAAAAGTAACTAACTTATTAATCTAAATTGGTTATTGAATTAATTAATTTTATATGCATAGATAATAATATATGTTATACATATTTAAATTAATTTTATGTTGATAATTAATCTAAATTGGCTATTAAATTAATTAATTAGTAAACAGTTATTGATTATTCTATAGAGATGATTTATTATCCATCTTATTATTTCAGATAGATGCTACATGTTAGATTTTTATTTTATTATCGTTTGTGCAATTTTAATCAAATATTCATACAAATTTATTATAAGTATTTAAATATAGAAATATAATCATAAAGGTATTATAGTAAATATACAATAACATAATTTCTTTCCTCTCTCTTTTTACAATTATTCAAATAAGAAAAATATATTTTCTTTTTTTCATTTCTACTCTTATCCAAACAACAAGTGAAAAATAATTTTTTTTCTTCTCCATTTTCTTTTTTTCATTTTTTTCTCTCTCTTTTCTTTCCTTTTTGGAGGAAATATCCAAACAAGGGGTTAGTCTATTTCGGACACATAGGGGCTTTGGGGTTTCCACTGTCGATATGAACAAAGCAAACAAAATAAAGGTTGTTAGAGAGGAAGAGGAAAGTGAAATTTGAAAAAGGCCTTGTGCTTTTAAGGGTTTTAATCCTAGCCCAGGTGGGTACCATTAAAAAGCTTAAACCCCACATTTCCATATTCATTATCATTATTATTTGTCTTCGTTTTTTTTAATCAGATCTTTATAGACAGATATGTAACAAGTAAGTTCATGCTGAAACTAAGTTGAAGGTTTCAACTTCGAGATTTGTATGTTAATGGGTATCAATTAAGCACTTAGAACATTTAAAAAGATGGGTTCTTTTTTATTTCTTGAAATAATAAGTGAAATGCTTGCTATTTGTGGTTATTTTTGTTTATATTCGTGGGTTGTTATAGTTGAAGTACTTTAGTTGTCCACTGTCCACAAAGAATAGATTCTTGATGTCTTTGCTAGCCCATTTTCTGCATCTATGTGCTATTTTGATCTCTATGGATTCTCTGTTCATGAAAAGGTTGCTGCTTTTTTATTTCTTTGTCTCTTTCTTTATCTATCTTTTTCTTCTTTTTTGGGGTGCCTTTCACTTTCTGATAGTTTCTTTGGAAGGTTTGAGGCAGTGTATAACTGGCGTAAGAAAGGGGTGTTGATGTAGATTATTGGGTTATATTCCATTTTCACCCTCTTGTATGGTTATAAATAGATGCGTGGTCATTTTTGATTTTATTCATTGCAGAAACTCAAGAACTCAGCTTGAACATTCATCAAGAATCCTGCTTAGTTTAAGTTTGTTTGGTGGAATATAATGAGCTACAATACCTCTGCTGTAGGTTCTGGTTAGTCTCTGTTGCCATTCTTGTTTATGGTTTGTTTGTGTGTGTGAGGGTTGTGTGACCTATAGTAAGTTTTTGAACCCTTCAATTTTGACATTTCAGGCAGTAGGAATACTACAAGAACAATTGAGTTTGGAAGGACCCATGTGGTGAGGCCTAAAGGAAAGCACCAGGCCACTATAGTTTGGCTGCACGGCCTTGGTGATAAGGGCTCAAGGTATAATGCTAGCTTTATTCTGCTGAATTGGTGCTTTTATTCATGTTTTTTTTTTTTTTTTTTTCCTTCTCTCTTATCAGTTTCCATTTGATTTTTTTTTCTTTGCTGAATAGCTCACTTTTTGAAGCTTGCTTATTGATGCAATTGGAATTTATTGTTGAATTTTATATTGGAAATTAATCTTTTCTTAACAGATACAACTTATATCATTGTCTATTGTCTGGGTTGTGGATTATTTGAATATGCATGGAATGGCAGTCATCAAGATTAAGACCGCCAGCTCTTTTCATAGTATCTATCAATATCAATAAGTGTAATCCTGCTTTATGAACAACACTTGGTGAAATTCTATTCTCTTTTTCTTGAGCATATGCCATTTATGAGTATGGACTTGTTTTCCTCCTACAAAACCAAAGAGAGAGTTATGAAATGTCAGTATCTTGTCCTGTTCTGGTGGAAATTTTTGGTATTTGTTTAACTTCTTGAACTCTGTGTCGTTTTCTACAAGATTCTTATCACAATTGATTTGGTGGGAGAGAGCAATTGTGCATGAATTGTTTAAACATCATTAGTTGTCTTTTTCTTCCATCTCCTCCATTGATCTAAGCTGTGTTGGGATAGCTCAAAGCCATATCTATGCCAAGGCTTAGAATAGGGGACCACTCCTGCACTAGCTTGTCCTTTCAATTGGCAGAGAAATTATATTACTAATGATTTAATAATATTAATCATTGGTTTTCCATTTTTTAGCTTATGGTTAGGGCAAATCAAGATAAGGGATTGATAATGTCATATAATATGAACTATGCTATTTCCATTATTGCTGAGGCCTGGTGCTCAACTTTGAGTGTGGTCCCCAAATATTGGAAGGTATTGCCTAAGTTATAATAAAATGCCTTCAAACTTTCTGAAGGGTGATAATGACCCCTTTGCATTTGGGTTTTGATGTGCTGTTGAGGCAGTTTTGAGAGTATCTTACGATGACTGAATGAATTCCCCCTTTTGTGCTTTGTTTTGCAGCTGGTCCCAGATCTTGGAAAACCTTCCTCTTCCAAATGTAAGACTAATTACTATTTTAAGTTACCTTACAGCTTCTACTTGCACACATGCAACATGCATCGCTATATGCCTTAATTCTTCCATGTTCAGAAATATATTTTTAGCAGACAAAAATAACTATCATATGGTTCTGTTCGAATTTGATGTGGCAGATTAAATGGATATGCCCAACTGCTCCAACCAGGCCAGTAGCAATATTTGGTGGATTTCCATGCACTGCTTGTAAGAACCACCTTGTGGGTTTACTTATCTTGAGCTAACCTCACATGAAACTAACCTGCAACTGTTTTTATGTATCCTGTCAAAATTAAAGTCTCAATTCATGTCTTTAGCTGTTGTGCCAATAGAGAAGATGGTGTGAATAGCTTATGTATCTCATTTCAGGGTTTGATGCGGGGGATATTTCAGAAGATGCCCCTGATGATTTGCAGGGGCTAGATGCTTCAGCAGCACATGTTGCGAATCTTTTATCAACCGAGCCTGCTGATAGTAAGTAGCTTTTTGGTACTATTTAGCTTTTTGCCCTAGACTTAAGGTTTATTTATGGTTGTATACTTAACGAAGCTTGACTAGATCAAAATGCTGTTAATATATTTCTCCAATACAGCGCATCAGCTAAAGGTTATACTTAAGACTACGCTTCAAACTCTTCAACTGTTGTTCTCTACTTTGGCTGTCTGGATGTCCAAAGGAGAGCTAAGAAGCTTCTCTATCTTTTTTTCATTGTCAGTCACATTGCTATGAACTTTTTATATAATCCTAGTGAGCTATTCATTTATTTATTTGTTGTGTTATTATTATTTTGGAGGGATAATGAGTGGTGTTTTCAATTCTGTTATCTGAGGGTGCATCAAGATTTCAGCAAAATACCTTATTGTTTTCCTTATATGATTATTGTGAATCTAAAAATGTTCTTATCACAAAACAAACTGCATCCTGCATCCATGAATTTTTTGGTTTATTAGTCCTGTATGAATGTGGATTTGCCACATATCACCTGGAAAAGGCTGTCAGATGCTTTTTGAAATGTGCTTCACTGAATTAGTTGTATTTCCGGTCTGATTTGAAAGTATCGACGCACTACTTTGACAGAGGAATGAGAGCTTGGTTTGCATGTAAATGAAAGCATGTTTTCTTAAATTGCTTGGAAATATTGTTGTTCGTATTGATATGTCTGTTTCTTCTTAGTTACCCTTTTTTTTAGCGTGTCAGTGTTGAATACTGCACCTTAAAGTTGCACAATAAGTAACCAGTATGATTTTATTGTTGTTTTTCAGTCAAACTTGGTGTAGGTGGCTTCAGTATGGGTGCTGCAACTGCCCTTTACTCTGCCACATGCCACATTTTAGGGCAACATGGGAATGGAAACCTGTACCCTGTCAACTTAAGTGCAATTGTTGGTCTAAGTGGCTGGCTTCCATGTTCAAGGTTTGGTTTCTGCTTTCTGACATGTGAACAGACAAAAACACCTTAATTACGATTATACACGAGATGAAACATGAAAGTACACATGTTGGTTAAGCAATTTATTCAGAAAACTATTTCTTGTCTTGTAGGACCTTGAGGAACAGGATGGAAAGATCAGATGAAGCTGCAAGACGTGCAGCATCCTTGCCCATCTTGCTCTGCCATGGCTCAGGTATTGGCCTTCATCCCACAGGCCACAAATTCATTCCTTCTCATTTAGAATACCTTCATTGAGAAGCAGATGGAAAGACAAACAATTTTTCTCGTTTTGCTATCTGCATTTCTAGTAACTTTGGTATAAGATCATATTTGCATGTGCTATTGGAAAATGTGATTGTTTTGAGGAATGCATATGATTTGCATAAACTTTCTATAACAATGAAGCGAAGTATACCATTTACATGAAGCAAAAGTTTCTTATAGTATATGAAAATACTTGAGATGGACAAACAAGATGACAAATATTTAGATATTGAGCTATGCTCTTCCACTGAAAGACCTGATCTGTCATTGTAAACACAGTCTCTGGTTCGAAAGTAGCGAACTCACTGTTTTCTAAGCTTTTTAACTTCAGATAGGTCCATACACTCGTAATGGTGTAATCTACATGCAGCGAGCTTTAGATAGTTCATGTCTTACTTTCTGGCTGCAGGTGATGATGTGGTTGCACATAAACTTGGAGAGAAATCAGCACAGGCATTGAGTGCAGCTGGATTCCGAAATCTTATGTTTAGAAGCTATAATGGGTATATCTGTCTCCCACTTGGCATTAGCATATCATACTTCTTGAGCATTTTGTTAATGGCGCTAACAATAAAATAAAAATAAAAATGTTTTACTTCATTGCAGGCTTGGCCATTACACAATCCCTGAAGAGATGGATGAAGTTTGTAATTGGCTAACCACTAGGTTAGGGCTCGACGGGTGATGGTCTTAATGGCAAAAGAGCTGGCTTGGAGCAAGGTTGTGCGGAGTTACAGAAGAATGTATAATGGATAGGGAAGGCATTCAGAATATATGCATGGTGTGGGGTATATGGTATAGCTCATGGTTCAATTCATTATTCCTCGATGTCATTTTTCTTAAATAAGCTATTGACGTCTATCGATTTTCTTTTTTGTTTGGGTTTATTATCATATTGTAATGGCTAGCAAGGGTTTGGAGTTAGTATTATTGGGTTTTTCTTTTCCTCTGGAGAGTTGGAAAGGGGGACAGATGATTCTTTCTTGCTCTGAATCCAGGAAATTTTATGGGTTGACTCAGAATAATGTATCTGTGAGGTTACCAGCATTAGATGTATTTGATGGCACATAATAAGAGCTGGATATCGGTTGGCTTCTCACTCTTTCCTGATGTATTGTTTAGAACCATTTACAACGTCAAAGCCAGGGAAAGTTTCTTAATCAAATGTTGTCCAGTAAAAGACTTAACACTTCAAAAGCATCTGATCAATCGTTTTCCGGTTTTCCTAAAGCCTTCTTCGAGCAATGAATGACCAAGCCGACGGCCAGACAAGCTCACAAGTCTCAAAGATATGTCATATATGGGCCAGGGCAAGCATGACACAACAAGGGCAGCTCGAAATGCAGACTCACTGTTAAGTTTCACTCAATGCATTGGGCTTGATTACAGTCCCATAGCAAGCTTGATAGTCTTTTTCCAAAATAAGCTACTTCAAAATCTTTTTAGGGTATTTTCAGTCTTATTTATCATAACATAGAAAGTTTATTTTATGTGAGCAATTAATTAAGGTAATATACATACGCATCATGATTTATATTTTTTTTATAAAATATCAATAAGTAATAACTAAAAACAAATATATAGCAGAAAGGAAGGTATGAAACTTCATTTCACATATTTCTCTCTTCCTAGCTCTGTTATATGTCAATTGAATTTTTTATTTTCTTCTTAAATTTTAGTTTTCCATAAGAGCACAAAGAAAGATTCTATTGAAACCAGCCTAAGTTTTCGCTATTTAAACAATGGGATTTTTGCTGTTATGTAACCTCTCAATGTTATTTAGTGTGCTACTTCCCAGAGCCATTTACATGTTCTTGCACAATTGCTTACAATCTAGGGAAGTAGTAAGTTGAAAAGTAGATTGGGCAATTCATTAAAAGAAAACAGTGTTGAGGATTATATTAAAGCAGAAAAGCCTTGAAAAGAAATCTAATGAATATATAATAGTACCTACTGTAGTAGAAATTTCGTAACCCAATGACCCCTTTCTTTCAGCTTTTATGGATCACATAACTAAAAACGCAAATCGAAGCAAAGGTAGCCCTGGTTGTAAAATAACCAGTAAATTATTAGAGAAAATAATAGGATGGAGGGTAGCATACAAATCTAAAAGAAAGATTTAAGCTATAGAGAGAGGGAGAAAGCATTTGCAGACAGCAACTTGATAATTAACATACTTTTTTAGCTAGATGTTTCATTTTGGAAAATAAAAGCTGACATGTTCGTTTATTTACTAGAGATGGCACCTACATGGCATAAAATACCTTGTTTCAGTAAATAAGATTGAAAGCACCCTATTGTGGGAAATAAAATTTAGGAGTACCCTACTTTGACAAAAAAATAATAATCCCTGATAGAGCACAAAGGCTCACGGGTCCAACTTCTACGGACAGTTAAAACTCTGATAAGGCTATACAACTCTAAGCAAACATGCAAGATCAATCCATCATAAAAATTCAGTGTTTTGCAGTAAAATCAACGGTTAAGTTTTAACTACCACATACAAGTTACTAGTGCATCATAATCTGTGAGGGAAAAGAAACTGGAAATGGTAGAGCAGGAACAGTCAAAATGACATGATAAAATTAGGGCATTAAAAAATCATTGTCAACTCATTCAACTTAGATATGGTTAAGAGAATGATTTTTTTTTATCAACAAGGACAACCTTTAGTACTATCAACCAGCCATGAATGAAATCCAATCAACAATAGAAACATCCAATTGCAAAACAGAAAGATACGAATTGGAAATGGAAATGGAAAAGGAGCAAAAAGAAAACACTGCATATGATGATGCTTGGCTACATCTCTTGCGTGAGTTCGCGTATATTCTGACATGTGGTCACCCAACATACCTACTTAAGCAAGATTGTGATAATCAAGTATCTAACTTATTAATAAAGAACCATCTGAGGTCCATATCCGAACCTGACACAAAATTGAACCCTCAGACCATAGCTGCATATGTACTTTTCTGGAATGAAGTATATCCAACGCCTCTGTGATACAAAAGAGCACATTGGTCAATCAAGGATAAGTATATAAATCAATGGCGTTTTTGGGAATTGCAAGAAACATGAATAAGACTCACCTGAAGTAACAAATGTCCATATTTCTAGTATTTCTGTTGGGTGCGATCTTTGGAATCGGTACAGGGAGTGAGAGGCGGGAAAGAAGGCACAGACTTCAATATGAACCTGCGCCCACTTTTCAACCCTGCTGAAGAGCTCGATTGAAACTCTTGGATGTGACTATGAGGTGGAGAGACTCGCTTTTTATTAGGAGAGCTTGCTTTAACAGACGGGATAGGGGTAGGAGATTCCTTCAATATTTCCGGTGTATCATCTTCCAGAATGTCATAAAGCCCACAATCGGAGTCCTGTGCTTGATTTTTGGTCTCACCTAACCAAGTCATTGGAGTAATTGGTGAACTACGCCAACGAAGAGAACTGCCACATGAGAGACGAGCACTTCCAGAATACATCTGAGTTTGTGAAACATTTGCCTTGTCCCGATTTTTAGATGAAGCCGAAGAAGCCATCATGATTGAGGAAGGATTTGGCAGTGGAGTATGATCAGAGAAATCGGCAAGCTCATCACATCGTGGTGAGAATTGGTCCATTATTTCAGAAATTTTATAATCTAGTTCCTGACCTTGGGAAACTATGTCCAGGGTTTTACTTGTTTTGGGAAGCATGTCGTTGCTGTGTGAATTGCTCGTAGAACTTACGGATTTTGCATAAGATGGCAACATGGAAAAATCAGAATCCGACGATAGGACATACCTACCAGGAAGGAGTCGGGATTTTGGTGCATCCTTTCCATGACTAAAAAAAGGAGCAAAATTAAACAAACTGGACTGAAAGATTCTAACCTCTCCAGAACAAATACATCTTAATCAAATAAATAATACCTTGAGTACTCAAATGATGTTGTTGGTGGTGTGAGGCTGCGCAGATCATATAGCTCGGCATGTAAAAATTTATTGTTAGCAACCATTTCCAATTTGTCATCAGCCGTGCTTTCTAACCTCTCTTCATTAGTTCTGTTGCTTACCATTTCTTCAGTCATAGAATATTCTGTAAATACATCAACAAAATTCATTCATCTTTCTACTGGTAGAATAGTGATTTTCTTTTTTATAATGAAAGAGAGTGAATTATTCACCATTTATATTTCTGTTCATCCAAACATTCTATGAAACCCAGGTTTTCCTCAAAACATTTTCGCCAAACTACCAAAAGAATTTGTAAAACTTTCCACATGTTATGTAGTCATTAGACTTAAATCTCTTATAAAGCTGGAAGGAGAATCTACAAAGGCTGAGACTCGAATTTGCAACTATTTCTTGAATTCCAACCACAAATACTCCAAATTGCACAACATCTTACCATAATTTATGATAAATGATGACAGCTAAAGAGTTGAGGAAAAACTAATTTCTGTGTAATTTCTCACCTTGTTTCCTACCATGGATATTTCTGCACCCTTCACATCGACAAGCATTGGAGCATCCGACATTAGCCTTTTAAATATGAACAGAGAAAAGTTAGAAATATTGAGAAATGGATATCGTGACAAAGGTGATGGAAAATTCAGATATTAACAAAATACTGCACCTGATAGCATTCACAATATTTTTTCACACACATTGACCTTTTGCAATTGCATCCTGTCTTATGCCTCCCTGAGGATGGTGTAAACACGCCTGCATCTTCCTGTGAAAAGAAAACATGATTACCAAATTCCCAGTCAAAAAGGAATTGCTAAAAAACCAAAAAAAGCGTTTGGTACCACATTGATTGCTTGAAACTCGGTCACATGCTGTACAATCTTCGGAGCAAAAGCTAGTGGATTACGCGATTCAATTTGTTGCCTTGTTTCAAGAACAGTATCTTCATATTCAGGCCTGTTAAAGCAGCCTTGGCAAGCACAAGTTTCAGCACAGTAGATGCCGGCTGCAAAGCAATCACAGTATCTGGCCAAATAGGGAAGGAAGTTAAAAAAAATTAACAAATTTAAATAAATTGCAAATATGTGTACATGACTACCATGACAACTTGAAATCACTCACAATTTCAAACATTTAGTCTTCTTACAGTTGCAACGTTTGCAACCATCACCATCAGTGCTTGATACTTTCTTCCTAGAGATCATAAAACGTTCAGTGGCGCAGCTTAGTTTGGATATATATATATATATATATATATATATATATATATATATATATGAGAGAGAGAGAGAGAGAGAGAGAGAGAACAAAAGTTGACTATGAAAATTATCCCATAAACTTGCCTTTGCTTCTTGGGGCTTGAGGGGTTGTACTCAAAATTGTCAGCGTGCTCTGAACTAAATCTCCTCTTATTGTGTGGAGTTCCCTGATGCTCGGGTAGCTGCAACTTATTGAAAGATTCCATGGTCCGAAAAGACTGAGAAGTGGCAGAGCTTGTAGCAAGTGAAGCCTTAGTTTGGAGCACCCTATCTCCAGCAGTTAATGAGACTCTCTCAACTAAATTCGATAGTTTGGAGCAACTAATTTTGCTCTCCACAGAATGGTGGCTCATGACTGGTTCTGATGCAATGCATCCCATTGGCAAAGTGTTGACAATGCTATTGAGATGCAAGCCAATACCTGATGGCTTGGACACAAGTAAGGGAGACTTTCCACTGTCGTCGGTGGAAAACACAGCTGTCACAGTTTGACTCTGGCTCGAAGAGATAGTTCGCTCCATCTGAGATGAATCCAAAATCTCCATTTCTGTACTGGAAGCAGGAAATATTGAACCAATTAAATTCATTGCTGGATTTGGAGAATAGGTGCCATCCATTTTAGTTTTCTGTTGAGCTTCTTCAAACTGAAGACAGCGTCTACTCATGCCACGATGGAGCTGACTGACCTACATTAATGTTGCAATTACTCTACTAAAAAAGAAAGTCCTACTAAATTTGATTACAAAAGAAACAATGAGAGCCACCAGTTTCATGATGGATATGCGAAAATGACTTGCATTAAGTGGCATCATATGGACCCGAATATGGAGAAGAATAGCACAGCAAATCCACAACCTTAAATGGCATAGACTATCTGTAGGAAAGTTTTTCTTCCACATACAATTAAAAAACACAACAAGAATCAGCACAATTTTCCCTTGGCAGCCTTTTCCAGTATGCCCATCCACACTTATAACTTCTCAAGATGTTAGACATTGGCAAGCTCCATGAATTTAACTTATTCCTATTAATCAGAAGAGGCCCAATGGACTAGAATGTGATTCATACGGACCTCGTAATTAGGAAAGTGTGCAGTTCCTAGATATGTGACTACGAAGCACCACCGAAATAAACCATGTTACTTGACAGGGCAACGATTTTTCATGATAAATTCTCAGTGGCTATGATTTTAACTGAGCAATGAATGGAAAATTCTTATTTGAAATACGCATGATCTATCAGCCTCTCTGCTCTTCGGAAAACTATCTTGGAAGATGAATTTAAGATAGAATAATTTATACCTCTGAACCAGAAAGTGTTATGAGTTGAACAGGTCCATGCAAGACCGTTCCCACATCCTCACCATAATCTTCACGTGGATGAGCAACCTGAAAAGGTTTAAGAAGTAGTTGAGGGTAAAAAGTTACCTTAAAAATTACCAGCTAACATTCACATCCTTTCACATCAGGGTTCGCATGTTCTATTCCTAGTTTCACAAAAGAAAAGAAAAACTGTTATTACCTGAGCCTCTGATGTGTCACATTGTTGTTGCCTAGAAGCATGGTCCACAAGCAAGTCAGACCCAAAATTTGGGCAAACGTGAGATGGTTGTTCGACAATGCTTCCCTCCTCTTCAATCTTTGCCATCTTAGTTTCGGATGCTGACTGCTCCTTAGGATCCTCTCCATCTTGCTCGGGCATGGCCTGACACGCATCCCCTTTTGTCCCCTTATCATTTATGTCATCAGTTTCTAGTACAGCTATTTTCAAGTTGGTTAAATTACTTTCTGATGACTGAAGTGCATCGTCAGATTTTTTCACATTTGGGTTTAACAAATTAACAGAGTCTGCACAGTCTGCATCCACGGGATCAGATAAGTACTCGTCAACACAACCTGAGGAGCTGCCCAGTTGGTCTTGTTCGGAGTTATTGACATTATTGCTCTTCTGGGCATCAACAATCAGACTGCTATTCAAACAAGTGCTCGATTTCCCCGTATCCTCTGGACCATCAGCAGATTTCTTGCTTCCATCATCATTCTTAGATATTTCTGCCCCAGATATCTGAGGACATTGAAACCTGAGAAAGAAAAAAACTAGCCATGTAAACAGTCTTCAAGCCCTAATTCGTGCTCTTTAAAACTGTAAGAACAGAAAAATCTAGAATCTCAAACCTTGGCAACAAATTTGTTTGACGGTCTGATATTGTACGTGGTGACGTGAAGACAAGTGGAGGAGAATTGATACCCAGGAGTCCTTGTGCTACATGTGCAGCTTTGACATGCTTAATAGGGGATAGATTGCTTATGTAATTATAAAATGGGGATTCCTGGAAACAGAGGAAGCAAAGTGATCAGAATATCCACATTTTCTTTTCAATTGAGAATATCCACAGTACTTGATAATATGTACAGGACACTTTCTGGAGAACCCTCCATTTTCATCACGTCAACTAAGCATCCAGCGGAAGTAAAGCAAAAATAAAACAAACAGATCCCAATTACTCATCCACAAGTTGAAGGGTAGAAATAAAAAAAATTGAACGAGAGAAAATCAAAAGATCCTTCATTCTTTCCAATTGTGGTTATTTCAATTCATTTACATACCACATGGCAAAAATAATAATACTAAAAGTAATAATAACAGCCTTCACGTCCATTTTCTCTTTGATTGGTTTTCATTAACACCTATTACATCAATCAAACATAGTCCATATAACTCCATGCACTTGAGTAAACTGAACGCCCTAATTGAGAAACAAAAACAAGTTAGCGAAAAAACACCTAACTCAATACACCACTCCATCCGAAAGCCAATATCCCCATCAATGTCGCTTCAAAACCTACTCCTACAGCAACACCAAATCCTCATCACAAAGTCCACAATTCCAACAGACTAAATATCTTCAACCCTGATAATCACTAAAGTTTAAGCCCTTTCACGAAAATTGAAGTAAGAAAAATCACAACCTCAGATCCTTATAAAACACACAAATGTAACAGAACCAAACAAAATTCCTTCAAAAAACTAAAATGGACACACTATCCTGTAAGAAACCAACAAGCATAAAAACAATTAAAAAAACACAAAATCGAAGTGAATTAATTAAGAAATGAAGTTACTTGAACTGGAGGAGAATCTGATAAACTGACTGTGGTGGCGGTGGCGGAGATGGTTGTCGTTGCAGTGGTGGTAGTTTTAGGTGAATCCATGAAATGAAACCCTAATTGTGATAACCCTAGAAATCAATTGCTGCATTTTAGTTTTGGTTTTTTATTTTATTTTTGAATCTGCTTCGCTCAGGGTGAAACTGAAAGTAGAAAAAAAGATGTGAAACGTTAGTATTTATTTTTTTTCTATTTTCTATTTTTATTTTTATTTCCTTTGTCGTTGAGAAACAGGGGGAAGATAAAATGGAAAATAGAAAAGAGACGTAGGCTATGAACGCGGCTTTTTAAAAACAGAGCGGGAAGTTTCTTACCTGCTCTATGGGTCTCAAAATATTTGGGCTTATTCTTAATGGGCTCAGTGTGCATTAAAGTGAAAATACAATAAAATGCTTGATATGGATAGGGGTGATATTTCTTTCTTTCTTTCTTTCTTTCTTTTAAACAATTTTGGTTTGATTTTTAGTTAAATAAACTTACAAAAAAAAAAAAATCAAATGTGAACTGAATTACTATTCTTTTAAAAAAAAAAACCAAAATTTTAATTTTTTGTTTGAGGTTAAAATGATTTATTTTTTTGAATTTTTTTTAAAAAATTAGATAATTTAAATAGACTAAAAATATCATCAATCCATCATATATTTATAATAATATTAAGCTATTAATTTTTTTTAGCTTATTTGAATTATTTTAGAACTTAAAAAAAGTCATAAAAAAATCAGTTTTTAGTTTAAATGGAAGAAAAATTTCAAATATTGAACTGAACTGAAAAGCCAAATAAAAAAAATATATTTTTCTTAATTTTTATATTAAAAATCAAATCAAAATTGATATTTCGGTTCGTTTTAGTTTTTCAATTCAAACCAAATAGTTCTTGCTCCAAAATATGAACAGAAAATTTTTCAATGTCCTCCTCGTATTTAGTAATGGTCAAGCAGAAGACTCTGCCACTTTGTGTCGAGTATCCGAAACCATCTTGATTTTACTTAAGAAAAAAATCATTATTGGAAACCACATTAAATTAATTCCTAAAAAATAAACCTGACCTAACTTTTATAATCTGACCTGAACCTGATCGGAACCAAAACTGAGCCCAAGGGACAGGGGAGGCAAAAACCTTGCCTACCATGACTGCATTGCCAAACCCAAAATAATTACATCATCAGATTGGGCTTTTTTCTTCATACAGTGGGTTCAGTTGTACACATTAGTTATTTAAGTTTAAACTATAGCCCACCACAGCCCACAGGCCCTTCTTCTTACTTTAGTTATTTAGCAGAACGTTAATAGTTGATTCTAGCAAAGGGCTCTTGATGGCTACCCAGACGTGAACCGGGCTCGGCTGGAAAAGATTTCTCTATTAATGACATGCCCGATATTGGTGAGCTGGACCTCTTTTATTGGAGAATTCGACTAACCATGGCTAAGTGACAAGAGCTTTAAACTTTTAATAAGAGTTTCATGTTTCAAAACTTGAATATGTTTTTTTATTTTTATGTCATTCGCAAAATTTATGTTTGTTTTCTCAATTTCAAAAGCGTGAAAAGCTTAAAACTCATAATTTTAAAATCAATTTGATGGTGATCAGTTCTCAGATTATAAAAAGAATAAAAAATTTTGACTTGAAAAAAATAGGATTAATATTCCATGGCCACAACTAACAAGTTTTCGTTAAGATTGTTATTTGGTCATTGGATCGTTATAAAAAATTTAATCTCGATTGACATATAAATTAATTGAAAAATATTCTTATTGTGGAATAAAAAAAACGTTTTTGGGTAAATTATTTAGAATGAAACCATGTAATTAAAAGACTTATAATAGACATGGTTTCATCATAAATGAAAAAGATTCTGCATTATCAGAATTCAAAACCCATTGATACTATTTATGTATAGTTTTTCTTTTATTGTCTTATCCTCAAAAATCGAAATTGATTCCTATCTCTGGTTGATTCGCTTTGCCCATACATATTTCTTGGATTGAATTAAATTACCAATCGCATGCATGATTTGCCCACTAGTGAGTGAAGGGCTGTGCGCTGAGGAAGTAAGAAGGTTTACCTGAAAAAAACTATGGATCATCAAGTGGTCATTTTGGGGACTCTGAGTACTCTGAAGCACGAGGAAAAGATATTGGAGGACTAAAAAGCAAAAGAAAAGAGGAAACTTTTATCATTATTGATGACATCACATTCATCTTTACCACCTCACGTGCATGCAAATCCCAACACGCATCACGTACAACATTTTTAGATTTGAAAAACTTCCAAGGTTTTTCTTTTTATTATCCATTCATAGAATTTTTGTTTCTTGTTTTATTATGGTGATCCCTTAAGATTCTCTATATTTATTTACTTAAAAATATGACTATTATGACCATTAAATTTAAATAATTAAATTCAAATTGAAAGGTCATAAATTAATTATTTATAAATGAATTTAACTCATTATTATTTTATCTACATCATTGAATTTATAATCAATAGTGAAATTTGAAATAAGAGTGAGTTTAGTTGTCTTAAAAACATAAAAGATTTAAACTCTTTATTTTCATGTTTTTGTCAACACTAATTTTTCTTTTCCATTGAAACTTAACTAGAGACTTATTATAGGGACTAATATACATTATAAAATTGAATATGTCTAAATCTATAATCATAATAGAAATTAATATGATGCATATATTTTTATCATGATTTGATTAAGTGTTCTAAAAATTGTCTAAAAATAGTTGGTGGCATCGATAAGAAAAGAACTTTTAATCTATGTCAATACTTCTAACTTTTTTGTATGTGAATGGATGAGACTAGCTTTAATTTTATTATTATTTTTTTTTTTTGTGAATGGATGACACTAGCTTTATGTAATCTTTATATAACTAGATTAGAGACTTTTTCTTTAACCTAATTTTTGCACTTCTATCCATCATGAATGTGTCTAGTCCATTACTAGAATCCAATACACTTGACACCTTTAATTGTTATTTACAAATATATTCAAGATAAAATAGTATTAATTTAATGAGACATGACAAATAGGTCACATTAAAGGATATTTTTTACATTCTCACACTCGACCTATATTATACAATATTTAAAAACATAATTTCTATATAGAGTCTAAAATAGCTAGTAAGTAGAAAGACTCACATTTAGATTAAGAATACAACATATGAATCATAACAATCATACTTTACAACTAAGTATTCCCTTCCTTGCATTACAATATTTTGCATCCTCAAAATAAACACATAATGAGCAAATAAACTTTATAAATGAACTTCTAATAAGTCGTTCAAGTCTAAATTTATATGTCTCAATGGATATAGAAAAAAATAGTTTATGTACACCAAACATCACATTAATATCTAAGAACGAAGCATAACGCGTTTAGACAATCAATGAAAATAAAATAAAGTCAAACATCAAATGGATCGTCAACGACCATGCGATCGATATGATCTTTGTATTGTTTTGTAGATAATGCTCTAAACATGGGATCTATAACTATCGACTTTATGGTAATATGCTCAATGAGCATTTCATGTTCTTTTACTTTCTCTCTTGCAATGAGATATTTTATGTTAATATATTAGTTTCAACTTTCACTCTTATTATTTTTAGAGAAAAAAATTACAACCAAATTATCACAATGAATCTTTACTAATTTTAATATGAAATTAAGAGTTTTTAGACTAGAAATGAAATTATTTAACAAGACGACCTATGTATTTCCTTTATAGTATCCAATGATTATGTTTTCATAGTAAATTTAGCAACAATAGTTTGTTTAATATTTATTCAAGATATAGCTACTTCAATAAAAACAAAATATATCCCAAAATAGACTCTTTTTATGTCCGTATGTATAGAAGATTTGAATCTAAATAACCAACTACCTCAAGATGATTAGTATGTATGTGAGTCGATTTGTAACATTTGATTCTTTATAAATATCATATAACTTTCTTAGAAATTTTCCAATATTCTATTCCCATATTGCTTTAGAACTTTTTTAACATTCCTACTGTAAATATCAAGTCATCTCTTATACGGACCTATGTATATATCACGACCCCCAAAATAGGCTATAACCGATGTGAAAATTGAGGAAGCTATAGGGCCTACCTTGATTCAAGCAAATCTTGAACATCTAAACATAACTATCAAACCTATAATAATAAAAACATCATTCTAATCCATAAATTCATCACTTGATAGTCATCAATTTATAAATTCCAACACAAACTAATTCCACATATACATTTTCAAAATAATATTAAAGTCAATAACCTAACACAACTCTAATATAATTCACAATATCATATCCTAATTTAATCGATACTTCTTAAAATCCATCTCAATTTATAATTCAACAATCAATAACCTAATTAGTCCTTATCACATCCAAATTCACAATACGTGTACTATATAATATATTAATTAACAAACTAATACGAGTTTATAATTATAACTGCATAACTTTTAGAGTATACAATAATATCAAAATACAAATTTAAAAATTTTTATATAAATAAGAAGCACGATTAACGTGTCGGTTTTAGGACAACGATTTTGAGGAGGTTAAGGAAAAATCCCATAATCTTGCAAAACTAAAATAATAAGATGTGAGCAAAATAATAGCACAGTGAGTAAATATTATATAACATATTTAAAAGAGGAAAACAGATAAGTGAATGATAATTCAAAACTTGCTCAAGATGCAAAGCGTATTTCTCAAAATCAAATACCTATTTAAATATAAAATCGTATCTTATATTTTCAAGTCATTCAAAACGCTTATCAAAATCTCATGTCTAAATACATACAATCAAATCAAATCATATCAATTATCAAAATTTATACATAGAATAATCAAACCAAATCAAATATTCAAAATCTACAACTAGAGTGATCAAATCATAACGTATGATTAGATACAAACATTCAAAGGCTACATCCTCCCCGGCTAGGTAACTCGCATATTGGTCGATGCACGAGCTAGGGCTATACATCTCTTACTAGCTGGAGCATTACATATCAATAAGTTCATAGGCTATGCCCTTATAATTAGGTACCCCAAGGTAGTCAACAAATTCATAATTAGAATAAACTTACATTTATTCCAAAATACAAGTCTAACATATCCATACACAATTCATGCTCCAAATCATTATTAATGCAATTCAATATCAACTCTCATACTCAAATTATAAGCTCAAATACAAACTCATATTCAAAATTACAAATCAAATACATACTTAATTAAATTATCCAAACAACATTAAAATCAAGAATCTTAATTGAACAAGTAAATAAAATTTAAATTCATATAATTAAATCAAAATTTAAATGAAACTCTTGTTCAAACACATAATTAGATCTTTTTTAATCATATCAAATCATTTTTGAAATGCAATCATTACAAAATTTCACAAGGATGTCTATTCCCATCTAAGTTCGAATTAATGTGATTTTGACATATTTTCAATAATGATGCATGATGAAAATATTAAAGAAACTTAAAAATATGATATACTATATATTATCCACTCAATAGTGCAAATCGAAAAATTATGCAAAGTTAAGATTACCGAGATGGAGTCGTCGCTTTAAAAAATATAATGATACAAAATGATCGAATAATAATTAATGTTATATATCAAAGAATAATTAAGAAGCAAATGAATTATTCTAAAAATTGAAATACTATAAAATTTACAAAAATATAATTTATCGAAAACACTCAAATTAAGGATTTTTAACTAAACTCTTACTCTCTTAACCAATTCTAGATAATTATCTAACAACTATATCTTAAGTTCATTTTATAATCTTTTTCTAATAATTAAATTTACACTTTATTGCAACTAATTATCCATCATAAATTTCCAACTCAATTTTTCACATAATTTGTCTCTACAATCCATATTCAATTTCTAATTCAATTTTTCACATAACTTATCTCTACGAGTTCATCATTAATTTTCAATTTAATTTTTCCCACAATTTACCTTTACGAGTTCATTATCTCAACTAGCTTGGGAATTTCTTGAATCCATCGTTCAATAATCACTTTCACACTATCATTATCTCATTTCACGCATCAATTAGTATAATTAATTGTTAAATCATCAAATCCCTAAATCCAATTAAACTCCTAACCCTAACTTAACTCAATTCTTATTCAAACAACGAAACCAATATAAACAATTTCAAACAATCAATTAGCACATATACTCATCTCAATTTTAAGATTAAATGATAAAAATCTCATCTTTGACAAATGGGTCTTCAAACCCCTACTTCAATCTTACAACTCTCCAGCTCTTCCAAGCTTTAATCTAGCTTTGTAAACTTCACTTTAATTATCTTTCTTTCATAATTTCTTAGGTATCCGAGCAAGACTTTAGCTTAAAAATCGAGGAGGAAGTTAAAGAAAGTAAAGGGAAATATATGGGTGAGAAAGGAAGGAGACGAGAAGGAGAGAAAATGGGGGAATAGGAAAACAAGAGGGGTATCTCGGCTTTTTCAAAATAAGTTGCCAAAAAAAAAAAATCAATTTCAATTTTTTTATTTCTTTTTTATCTTATTCTTGTTCTCTTTTCTTTTCTCTTTATATATGATTAGCATACTAATTTTTTTAACTAAAAATTTCATATTTTTTTAATTTATTCTAAAAATACAACTAACCTTTAATTAGCTTATACTTATTTTTATTATTCCTAAAAATATATAATTTACTAACTTAACCTTATTTTTAGGATGAATTATTGCATTATACATCAAACCATCTATTGTAGATGCACATGAAATGTTAATCATCTACTTCTTTTTAATAAATTTATAAAAAATGATCATGACTGAATTTGTCTCTTTTCATAGTGAGTGCTACTTATGCTCGTATAATTTGACGTCTCGAATCTTTTCAAAACTTTCCCAATGTGGTCTTTTTTAAGACAGTTCTAATAATTTTTAAGATTTATCTTTATGAATCTCTATGCTAATGATATAAGAGGTTTTACTCAAATTCTTCATATCAAAGTTTTGAGAAAAAATATTGTTGTCTCATGCACAAAACACAAGTCACTACTTATAAGTAAAATATCATCTCATATAAGACAAAAACAATAAAAAAATTATTTTCTACTAATCTTAAGGTCTATATATCGATTAAAAATATTTTTAATAAAATTATATGAGATAATAACATTATAAAATTTAATATACCATTATTAGGAGACTTACTTTAGCTATATATATATATATATATATATATATATATCAACTTACAAACCAAATAACTATTTGTATCGTCATAAAAACCTTCAAATTAATTTATGTACACTTTTTCATCTAAATTTCCATTTAAGAATATTGTTTTCACATCCATATGATGTATTTCTAAATCAAAATGAGCTATTAGTATCATTATAATTTTGAATGAATTCTTCTTAGAGATCGAAGAGAAGGTTTTATAATAATCCATGCTTTTTTTAGATATAATCCTTAGTCTAGCTTTATATCGCTTGATATTACTGAAATAAATTATTGTGATTTTATAATGCTTGAATCTTGATTTTTAGACATAGACTATATTTTTCCTTTGCATAATTATACCATAAAACATAGTTGTCTTCATTCATGGTTTATGAAAATGAATTTGAATAATTTTTGGGTTCACTATCAAAGTCAAACTCTTAAAGGTATACAACATAGTCATTAAAAATTATTGATTTCAAGGATCATCTTAACTCAACTTCCTCATATGGCTTCACCTTATCATGAACTAGTTGCTTTTGAATTGGTTGGTGTTCAATATTATTTGATTGAGTTTTTGAACAATAACTAATATTTATCTTGTATCTTTATATAACTTTTTAATACCCAATTTCTCACTCTTATTATTTTCTTTTTCTTTTAGGTAAAAAATACAAAAAAATAAAAAAATAATATATATATAAATAAAGAGGAAATAAATTAATTTAAATAAGTGGCTCAAATAAGTTCTAAGGGTCTAATTAAAAAAATAAGAAGCTTGGGAACTAAAAGAAACTCAATTAATGATACAATTAAAAAGCTTAAAACCTCAAATCCTTAAATAAAAGAAAGGAATGACATAATTAGAAGAAATCTAAAAAAAATAGGTCCCGATTAATTGTAATTTAAGAGTGCCATTGAAGTTCAAACAATCAAAATTATACTTAAATTGATGAGCTGGGAGAAACCAAGGATCAAAATTAATATTGTCTAAAAATCTTAATTTTTCCCTAATAAATGCCTAATCTCTTCGATTATTTAGGGGAAGCATGCTTCCTAAGACCAAAAACCCTAAAAAGCCAATAATATACCAAACGGCCCCTAAGGAAGAAGAGACCCAAGCAGACCGTAGATCGGACCCGTATACCATCGACTCTTATCTTCCTAAATCAGCCACCCACTAATCGATATCTACTCCATCCACCATGATCGATCGATAGCCCATGCCTAAATCCACGACTAGTTAGAGAAGGAGAATATGTCAAACGTGGCTGGAATTGAAGAGAGAAGGTTAACGACACGACTTATTTAGAAACCCGACCAAATATCCTAATTCTAGCCAAAATACCATTAAAGAAACACTCCTCACCCTTTTAAAAGGTGTTTTCTCTAAAAATCATGACTCAATGTTGTCAAAATATGTCAAACCAACAACGAACCTATTCTTCGACCCATTTGCGAAGATCCGACCTAATTGACCGATCGAGGCTAAATTGGACCTTCTAACCACCGTAGAAATGTTCCTCATAATCCTTTGAGTAGCTTAATATCCTCCCCTTACCAAGCTATAGCTGGAATCGTCATCGAGAAAAGAGGGAGAGATGATCGAAACTTCGAGGTCCCTAATCTCCCTCCTCCTTCAACAATGACTAACATTACCACCATAAACGGATCGATGATGGTACTGTTTCAGCCTACTGATCGGTTAATGTGCTTGAAGAATGCCCGAAAGATGGTCGAAGCAAGTAGTAGTAACTCCTCGGGTTATCGGATGTAGTTTAGTAATTTTGGCATCGAAAGGTATTTTGGTAATTTCATAATCGACCATGGGCATTTCGATCATTTTACAAAGTATCTTCAATGCTTTAATTGACGGATGCTCTTCTTATCCGGCTAACTAGACAATTAGTTCTCATTGGGATGAAGAGAGTGGAATTGACTCAAAAGATGACTTTTGATAAATTCAACACTTTCTAACATCTATGTGGGTAATATTCAAAAATTTATATCCATTTGATATCTTTGATTAAACTGCTTTATTTCAAAAATATAAAATTGCTTTGGTTAGGATTTTTGAGAGATTTGAAATGCCATTAGATACACGATTGTGTATCGAACCCAAAAGGGTCAATGACCTAGGTATTTTGAGGTAAAATAAGGTAGATTGATCAATGCTCTACGATAAATTTTAGAGGAAAGCTTCGGTTTTAATTTTAATGGTGGATCCGGGATAAATGCTAGTCCCGGTGTTTACACTTGAATGTGATATTTGTGATTGAATAATTGATTACAAACCATGAAGGTGACGTGTTGAATACCTAATGTTTTTGTCCAATTCATGATTATCTACTTTTTGGTCGTCTAAAAATCAAGTTGTTGATGGCTTTCTACTTGTGTTATGAAGCCACCTATGGATTTTAAATCAATTTGCTTGCTTTCTATTCATTTAAAATGAAGTTGCTACTAACTTTTCACTTATGTGACAATACTGCTAGTAGTTTCAAAGTTATTTTTTTTATTTTCTCGCTCATCCGAAAATGAACATGTCGGTGGCTTTTTACTTGTGTGAACGAAGTCACTAATGACTTTTAAATCAATTTTTTTTTATCTTTTTGTTAATTCAAAATGAAGTCTGTCAATAGCTTTCCACTTATGTGGTAAAGCCGTTAGTGATTTTGAAGTCATTTTACCTATTTTTTGCTTGTCCGAAAATGAAGTTATTGGTGGCTTTCCACCTATGTGGACGAAGTCGCCAATGACTTCCAAATCAATTTACTTACTTTCTACTCATTCAAAATGAAGTTGTTTATGGCTTCTCACTTATGTGATGAAGTCGCTAGTGGTTTCAAAGTCATTTTTCTTATTTTCTATTTTGAAGATGTTGATGGCTTCCCATTTGTGTTGACGAAGTTGCCCGTGGCATTCAAGTCAATTTGCTTACTTTCTATTCATTCAAAATTAAACTATCGATGACTTTTCACTTATGTGATGAAGTTGTCGGTGATTTCTCGGTTGTTTTATCTTTTTTCTACTCGTTTGAAATAAAGTCATCGTGCAGCTTTCTACTTATATGATAAAATTATCAATGGTTTTTAAATCGGTTATTTGCTCCTTCCTCAAGCAAAACGAGTTGTCGGTAGCTTCTCGCTTATATGATGAAATTATCGATAACTTCCTAAATTCATGATCCAAAGTTGACATTGGCTTTCCATTTATATGAGTGAAGTTGTAGATGACTTCCAATTCATAACATCGACTCTTAATCTTTATAAACTCACCTATTTGTCGGTATAGGGTTATGTTCGCTAAAGATTAGCCACCCACTTATGTGATGAAGTTGTCGGTGGCTTCTAAACTAGTTATCCGCTCCTTGCTCGAGCAAAAAAAAAAGTTATCGGTGGCTTTCCATTTATTCTACCCCTTCATACTTATGTGACGAAGTTGTCGATAACTTTCTAAATCTATGATCCAAAGTCGGTGGCGGCTTCCCATTTGTGTGAGCAAAGTTATCGATGACTTCCTATTCATGTTAATATAGGCTCTCAATTTTTAAAAACTCACTTATTTATCGATATAAGCTTGTGTTTGCTAAAGATTAGCTAAAATTCCAATCTCTCCCCACTTTTCTCCTTTGAGTATGGGCATTGGTCTTGGATCGATCTATTACTCTATTATCTCATTCCAACATAATAAATTTATTCAAATAAGTATAGAAACATAACATAATAAAATTAAACTTTTATTTCACATGCATTCAATGTAGCCTACCCTAGGAAAGACGGGATGATGGTGATGAATCTTCCCCATACATAGCCAACTCCTTACCTAAATATCTACACAAATCAATTTGTTTAGGGTTTCTTAGTTCTCCTTGATTAGCTAGGTGACAACTCACATCTCCCAAGCCTTTTTGTGAGCCCCTGTCGACATAACTCGGTTAATTTTTGCTTTTCTTTAAATTTTATCATACGAAGAAAATCGGTACTCCCACTCGAAATCAATGTCCTAAAATTTAGTTTTTTTTTGTCTCTACTATTCTTTTATTATAAGAACAATAATAAAACCTATATCCTCTAGAAATATTCACCGGTAGTTTTTAGTTCAATTTTTTTAAGCGAGGATTATAAATATCTAACTCAACATGAAAATTCTATACACGTGTACAATCTAAATTAGATTTTCATCCATTATAAACCTCAAAAAAAAATATTTTAGAGATAGCCTTGGATGGAACCTTATTTAAAATACACGGAGTAATCTTTAGTGTTTTACTCTGTAGGGGTAACGATAGATTAGAATTACTATCATAATTCTTACCATATCCATAAGCGTATAGTTTTTTTTTTCAACTATACTATTTTGTTGTGATGCACTAGACATTATGTATTGTACAATGATGCCATTTTCTTCAAGAAACTTTGCAAATAGACTTGAAATTTATCCTTTTGTTTTTTTTTTTTTTTTTGCATACCTATCATAACACTCTCCATATTTATACCTTATAATTTTGATGGTCTTTTTTTTTTTTTTTTTTGTACCTCAGCCTTTTAGATTTTGAAAGCATCAAGTGCTTTAATTTTATCAAATAAGAGATAGAAATATATAAATCTATGATGTTCATCAATGAAAGAGATAAAATATCTCTAACCATTTAGGAAAAAGAGTATCAAATAGTCTACATATATTAGCGTGTATGTCATTTAAAATTTTTAAGCTCCTTATAACACCTTTGGTGATCTTGTTAGTTTGTTTTTTTCATTATGCAATTCACATATGTACTAAAATCAACAAAATTAAAAGTATTTAAAACTTCTTCATTCACCAATTTTTGAATTTTTTTATAGAAATATGAATTATCTCTTATGCCATAACATAGAGAATATCTCATCAATTTTTCTCCATTTAATACTAGTATCAACATGCATTGATATATAGTTGAACTTAAAAGTAGGTCTAGATTAAGTTTATATAAACCATCAATTAACATTCCACCACTAATAGAAATTTTATTTTTAAAACTACCAAAAATATTTTCATCAAATAAAAATTCATAGCTAGCACTACAAAGTTTGGAAGCTGAAATCAAATTTCTAAAAAACAAAATGGAATATAATTTACATTTACCAAATCCAAAATGAATCCAAATTCTAAAATTAATCTAGAAGTTTTCACAACTTTTACTTTAGAATGCATTTAGTTTCTTAAATAGATAACTCTTTTATTTTCTTTCGAGCTTTCTTAGAATCAAAAAGCCTTGCTTGATATTCACAATACGGATTGTAAAACCAAAATCAATGCACCACGTATTATTAGGAGCCTCAATGAAAAAAGATATAAGACACACTAAAGAGATGATTTTATCTTTCGTTACAAGTCATTTCGATACTTAGGACGAGTTTTTTTTAACATTTCTTCATTTATTGCGAAGAAATATTTATTCCTATTGTCATTTTGCTTCATTGGCATATTTTCATTTTTTTCAATTTGAGAGTAGTTTTACTTTTCTTGGCATTTTTCTTAACTTGAGAAACAAAATGAGCACTTTTAGATTTTTCAAGTTTCAATCTTCCTTCTTCTTGAACATACTAGGTCAATAGTTCATTAATTGATCATTTTTTCTAATGTATGTTGTAAGAAATCTTGAACATACTATATTTCATAGGGAGAGAGTTCGAAGAAAACAAACCAAGAATGAATAGAAGATCTCCACCCTTAATGACTTTAATTGAGTAAAAGTGTCCTCATTTTAATAATGTGCTTGTGCATATTCTTAGAATAGTCAATTGACTTATCTAGATTGTTTCCTATGGCATTCAAGAAATCTTTTGCTTTAGAGCATTGAGGGGTAGAACCCCTAATATTCTTATATATTCAAGACTTTATGAGCATTAAATTTAAACAATTAGATCATAATCGAGTCTTTTCTTGAGCATTACTTGATTTCATAGGAATAGACGGGTTCATCTATATGAAAGGCCAAATCCAAATCCACACACTCCAATGCAAAGAGGATATTTCCTTTCAATCAATAAAATTATCACCACATGGAATTAGAATACTAGATATATTAATAAAAACAATGAAAAAAAACTAAAATAACCAAGAAAATACTTTAATACTATGAAAAATATACTTTACCTAACTAATGTCAATTTAGTATTTATAACCTTCTCGTGGGCGAGAGGTTGCCTCGTGTATAGAATTTATTATTTTTTAATAATAAAACTAATAAATAAAATACTAATAGTAAAATTTATTCTTACATGAGAGCCTAGAATAAAATTCATCGTTATCATTCATTTATTATCTTATTCCAATTGAATCATAAAAATAGCAACATCTCTATAGGGTCAAGTCATTACTTTTATAAAGTAATTACAAATTAAGCTATGTACCGTATAATCATATTAATTTAATAAACTCTAATGTAATCATCAAAATGGTTTAAGGTGTTATGGCTACTCTTAGATTAACTAACATCATCATCTCAAGATAACATGCTTAATTATCAACAAAAACTTTATCTTAATATAACAAAATAACCATGTAAATAATATCATGATTTTTCCTTAACAAATTTCTCCATATAAATTTATTAACAAGCCTAAAAAATATTCACGAAATATACACAAAAAAATTGATCGATCAAGTGTTCAAGCAATTGTTCAAGAAAGTCTAGTGCTGTCATGAGAAAATTTTCTTATAGTCTATACCAATATTTTAGGTTTTATGTGTGTAAATAGATGATAAATAGCTTTATATAATATTTATATAGCTTGACAAGAAATTGTTTTTTTTTTTAACCTAATTTTTACGGTTCTATCCATCATGAATGTGCTTAACCCACTCGTTAGAGTCCAATAGGCTCTAAACTTTTAATTGCGACTCATAATTTTAATATTCAAAATAAAATATATAATAATATATAGTATTAATTAAAATAAGACATGACATATAACCCACATTAAAAGATATTTCTTACCATATATTTATTACAAAAAAAAAAAAAAAATTACTCACGCCAGAAAACAATGTGGAAAATTCCAATTACCACTCACCCAACACCTCAGATGCCATAAAGAGGCTAGCCAGTTTATAATAAGTATTTGGATAAGACTTAATAGGAATAAATTTTGGGTCAAAAAACAAAAACATATTTGAAGAAAGAAGCTGTTCACACCCACAATGCTAAAAATCAAATTAATATAAGATGTCCAATTAATTCACATAATCTTGAACAAACTCGATCTTATTGTTACGATATAACTCAAAATCAAATTCATAATCAAACTTTCATTCATTCTTATAGGAGGAAACAAAAGAACAAAGGAACACGTCTACTCTTTACTATTCTTTTTTTTTTTTTTTTTGGTTTAGGGAAAAGTTTGATGTTCCTTAGTTTAAATTAGGAGGATAATTATCTTTTCTAGGATTTGAAACTGAAATTTTCTAATAGAAATTTCAAATCTCATTCATATAACTATTGGGTACCGGGCATTTGAGAACAAGATGTCTAGTTTGTGCATAACTTGCTTTCCATGACCAAAAAGATAATGGACCGACGTAGTGACAGGTACTTACATGAAGAGAGAAAAAGGAAATGTATAGATATATATATGTGTGTGCATGAAATTACAGGAAAAGTGTATTTAAATTCTTGTGTCAGTATGGAAGTTGGCATCTTGTAATTGGAGAGAATAAAAAGAGAAAGTAGAAGGAAGAAAGAATGTATACGTTAGGCCGAGGGAGCAATTGAGGGATGGTTTGGTCATGGTCATGCATGGAAGCATTTCCCAAAGAGAATCGAATCCCCCTTTCTTTTTGCTGCTTTTTCACAGTTTTGCTACAGCCTTCTTTAACATTCCCCAAGAAAATGGTGGGTGTATTGCCTTACATGGTGTTTTAATTTAATTTTATTAGCACTTGTTTTTCATCTCTTTCTTTAAAGGGAGGAGAAAGAAAGAGAACGGGCATTCGAGAATATTACTTAAGTGAGGATTGAGAATATTAATTATGAGAAGCTATATCAAAAGAAAATGACAGTTGAAAAAGCCATTACAGCAGTGAAGAAGAAGAAAAAGAAAAGAAAAGACGGTCAAAATCTGAAACCTCGAAGACTTCGATCTATTCCATCATCAGCTTCGACTATCTTTATCGAAACCCTACCATTTAATTTCCTTTTCTTTAATTTTGAACACTATATTAATTAATTACATCTTCTCTTCGAACCTTCCAATCAAATCTACTATACAGAAGAAGAGAGAGCTCTAGCACTATTGCTCTCTCTCTCTTTTTTTTTTTTCAAGAAATATGAGAGTAGAATTGTTTATTGAAATGCGAAAGGACGTTCCTTGAATTTACAACTAGCCATGCAACTTTTACTTTAGCTTCAACTCTGTTCAACTCAGCTCAAATATCAAGCTTGAAAGTTGGCCTAGTTGGCAATTATGTATATATTTATATGTTCCCTAAGCTAAGCTATCATCAAGTATTCGATTCTAAGGCTAGATATTGTGAGAATATACGTATAGAGCTTATTCTTATCAAACTAGAATGATGAACTTAATTAAAATAATTATTTTGATCAGGACGCCAAATGACGGTAAACTTCAAAAAAAAAAAAAAAAAAAGGATTCAACCCATGAATTTGGTATTTGGTATGTAATTTTATTTGCCAGCATGGTGTTCAGTCCTTTAACTAATCAACTAATAAAACTAACATCAAACAATATATATATATACACACACATTGTAAAAGGATATTTTGAAAAAGCATGAATATTGGCAATCTCATTTCAGATGTAATTAGTTAGAATTCGATTATAAATGTCTACGCAAATGGTATGTTATTTTCAAAACCTCATCTTAATGCACTACATATGTCATATGTGGGATATAGATAGATTCAATTTATGCAAAAATAAATATGAAAAATAATTGGAAGAGTGCAAGGACCAAATAATGGGCAAAAGAAAACTCAATTTCAAAAAATAAACAGAAGTTGAAAAACCCGTATTATATAAAATAAAAATAAAAAATAGAAACCTAAAAACTTAGAACATCCCAAAAGAATGAAATAACTCATAAAAAATATATATAATTTTTTCTTAACTATAGAAAATTTTGAAAAATCAATGTCCTCAAAACTTATTTCGTTGCCATATATCTCAATATACAAGGCTTTATGAACATGATTTTTCAATTTTCAGATTTAAAGAGTTAGTATTATTTTGTTGTGTTCTTCAATTTTTTATTTTTTTAGGTTTTTTAATGTTTTAATATTTGGGGAGTTTTTTTCTAGGCTTTTTAAAATTAATTTCCCTTTTAATGGTTGCAAGGCATTTTGGTCTAAAAAATGACAAAAAGAACATATGGAAGAAAATATGAACATATAAGGACATACGGAAGTAAAAATTACTAAAAAGGTCTTTAGAAGAATACACCCAATATATAAGGGTAGATGGTTCAGTCAATCCTAATATTAAAATTAATTTTTAATTTGGATATGTTTTGAAAATTAAGTTTTTTTTCCCTCAATATTTAGTTTTGTACTATTTAGATTATTTTGATTAATTGAAGTGTTATACTTCTTTTAATTGATTGAGTGTTTCTACTGAGATTCTGTATATGACACATGTTGCACATAAAAAAAGCTTTTGATGGCAATGTGGCACATAGATGTATAAACTAAAAATAAAACAAAGAATTGAAGATTCAATTAATACAAAAAAAATTATTACGATGTCTTAATCAAAATAATTGAAGAGTAGAAAGACTAACTATGGATAAAATCAGTTAGCTAATTATACTCGGCAATTTCAATTGGAATTGTTTGGTGATTCGATGTTGTTTCCTATAATAATCAATACATTGTGAAAGTAATCAAAGTACCACAATTGTGAAATATTTAAAAGTGAAGAAAGAAATTGGGGTTTTGTGTTAGAACCCTTTTGAATTGGGTTTTTGTGTTAGAACCCTTTTGACTTATCTCCACAATTAAGTCCCAAGAAGTACAAAATAAAAGGAATATTCAAAATTGTAAAGTAAGCACCATTTTTCCCATATAGTGAATGCTGGCATTCAGGTGAGTTCTCAAAGTATATTATTGAAAGGAGACATGATCCCTTAGATTGTTATTCTAACATAAGTTCATAAGAAGTGGGGTCTTCTGTCTATGGTTATTTTTATACGTAGAATATTCAATTTGTCTGGCAATAAGTAGTGAATTTTGTTCCTTCTTATCCAATCCTGACTCACAAACTTAGATCATTCCCCGATCCCCTACTTGCATGGATCCCTTCATTCTATTTGTAAGACAACAAATATCGAGGGCCCTAATAAAATGCCATAGTCAAAAGGTTTTAATTTCCTTTGGTTCATTGTTTACAGGAATAAAAAGAGATTGGTTGGGCTATTTTGTGCTGACAGGTTACAATGCATACTTTATGTGGGGACATAGGGGCCGATGCAGTTCTAGAGAGTTTCATAAATTCCACAAAATCTTCAATTCCTTGATCTATATTCTGATATGCATGGTTATAGGTATATATATTTGCAGGCTAACTTGAAGCATTATGCTGTATCTATTATATCATTAATAGTTGGTAAATACATATGAATTCTGAGAGGGTAAAAAATTAATCAGATAAGGAACATCAATGGAATTCTGTGTTCTTATTAAAGAACAAATTCTATGGCAATTTTGCACAAGTGCTGTAGCTTTTGCACTTACTGGAATTATATAATTCGTTGAAGTTTATACTTTATATAAATGCCTATAAAGGGTGATCAGACTTGATGATTGGTTATCATCATGTCCTCATTGCATTTAGAAAAATAATTATTAAGTACCCCAGTTAATATAATTAAAGCCCTGCGCGCAATAGGCTATTGATGCTTACTGTTAATTTAGTTCTAGAAGAAGTAATCATAATGTAATTGCATGTTATCAAATTAATCACGAGGAAGACAAGCCCTATAATACTCTCCCTTTAATGCACAGACATTGTGGTACTTTTCCGGATAAGCTAGCTAGGTCTTGACAAAACTGCTCTAAAATTTAGTCGGGTTTATGTAGATCAAAACTGTGAACCATGTTCATGTAAATCACAGTAAATCTATGCAATATAATTGGTTTTGTCCATGCATGTATACCGTGTTCATGTAATAATTTTTCATCAAAGATTCATAGGTTTTTGAGTTATACAATGGGTTGTTTTTTTTCCGTAACATAATCATTAAAGAAATTTAAAAACATTAGAACTCGAATCTTTGTTCATTATAGAAGCTAATTAGATAGACAACCGTTAGGTCAAGTCTATTTGTATATATAACTTTTTTTTCAGTTTGTAAAGAAGAAGATAAACTCCAAGACATGTTAAGAACATAGCTTAAATGCACATTAGATGCGAATCCTCATATTTTAAATTCTTAGAACAAGGAATTGTTTTATACATATTTTGGAATCCAATTTCAAATTTTCTCTATCTCTATCTTTGTTTTTATTTTTCTTTTGCAATCATATTTCCTAGTGATTCCATTGTTCAAGGAAGCAAAGTGAAGAATATGAAAAAGAAAGCCTAACCCTCCTGCCTACCTCAATCTACCCCATTATCGAGGTCTAAAACAAGTATATAAACAGCCTTAACCCCAATATCTAATTCACAAGTTCCTTAAACAATCTATCGCTCTTTCAACTACTAGCTAGGTTACACTTCATTTTTGTACGTACTGATTCTCCTCTCTTTCAACTCTCTGCTTTCTCAAGGTAAGGTCCTTGCTTATTGTTCTTTGACCTAACAACTGATATGTTAGTCACAACTTTTTTTCCGGTATTTTAGGTTCAAGCTCCATGTTTGAATCATTTTTATTTCTTCTTTGAACGATAATCATATTCTAGTCGAGCCTTGATAATGGCATTTTTTGTAGAATTTTTATTACGCGATTTTGCATATTAAAATAGTAGCATCTCCTTAAAGCACTAACTGACTGATTTGGACTTCTAGCTAGCAAGACAAGAGAAGATGAGCAGACCAGGAGATTGGAATTGCAGGTCATGCCAACACTTGAACTTTCAAAGGAGGGACTCATGCCAGCGTTGCGGGGACCCGAGGCCCGGAGAGAGGGATCATTATGGAAGCTTTGGTGGAAGATCATCAGGAGGCTCATTTGGATTTACAGGTCCTGATGTTAGGCCTGGTGACTGGTATTGCGCGGTTGGCAACTGTGGAGCTCATAACTTTGCCAGTCGTTCCATCTGCTTCAAGTGTGGTGTCTCCAAGGATGAAACCTCTGGTGGTGGACTTGACACTGACATGTCAATGATGAGAGGTTATGGCTTCGGCGGAGGCGGCACCTCTAGCCGCTCTAATTGGAAATCCGGAGACTGGATTTGCACCAGGTTGATGCATATTTTGTTCGTACCCCTTAATTCTGAAAAAATACTTAATTTGCTTTAATAATTATTTTATATTTTGAATTTAAATTTGGTAGGTCCGGTTGCAACGAGCACAACTTTGCCAGCAGGACTGAGTGTTACAGATGCAATGCACCAAGAGAATCTGGCAGCAGCAAGTCTTCATATTAATCATCATCGACATCAATTTCATTTTTGTGTAAGGATTTGCACTTTTTGGATACAAGCCTATATATGCATGTAATATGGTACAATTTTGATCAGTTTTATTCGGCTAATATTTGCTAATATTGTTCATGGTTCAAATTTTATGTACTTCAGTTTTGCAAGGAGAGAATTTATCGAGAAGGGTTCCTGAGAAATCATGGCTTAATCTTTTTGCTTTTAGTTGCCTCTATTTTTGTTCTTTTGGATATCTGTCTTATGCCGAGGAGCTTCAGAAGGATCATGGGAGTGAAATTAAATTCCAGGAAAGCGATATCATTAGTTAGTAATTTGTCAGGTTTCTTAAATATAGACATATATGCATGTAGTTCTTCTGTACTTGGTATCAATGTCTTTGTGTTTTGAGACAGTTTTAAGCCCTTATTAATTATTCAGTCTAAGGTGTGCTTCATTTAGCTACATTAATGAAATCCCTCTCCTTGTTAATATAGTACTTACAGCATGCTTACCACTTCTCAAACTTTTTGTTTTCCTTTTTGTTTTTGCATTGCAATGTTCTAGTATAAGGGCTACAAGACTGCTTTTTCTTACAGTGGTCCAAGGAATATTTGACTTCAAATTAACTGTAAATTAATTAATCAGCATTCTCCATCTCTGCAAAAGCAATTAAAAGGAGTTGTTTCATGGACCACAATGGGATCTTTTTGGTTAAACCAATGCAAGAGATCGAATTAATGGATTTTGCATACAGAGAATATCTTCGAGAATTTAGATATTTAGCTAGCCTTTAAAACACTTCCTTACGGATAATATAAGCATCATATCTTCTTAAAAATGAAAGATATTCCACCATAACATCGTAAGAGAATTGGATGCAAATAGCTTCAAGATTATATAGGATGCTAAATCAAAGCCTAAGTTTAAATAATTTTGAGTCATCTGCAAGGATGGCCTCTCCTTAATTGGAATACTACTCGTAATTTAAATAGAAAGTAAACCAAATGATAATATAGTCTATAGGTATTCTAGGTAGTACGTACATATCACTAACAAGGCTGTTCCTCAAGGATGGTTCGGTCCCTCCTTATAGGATACTAATGTAATTTTAGCAAAATCAAGAAAAAAAAAATCCCATACCTCAAAGGGATATGGTCTAGAGGTAACAGAATTGCATTGATTTGACCAAAATCAAGATTTAATTCTCACTATCTATAAATAATTAGTTATAATTATTTTGTAGTGATACCAAAGTTAAGTTTATTTGATTTAAGAAAGAATTTAACGATCCATAAATAATTAGCTATAATTATTATGTAATGATGTCGAGTTAAGCTTATTTGATTTAAGAAAGAGTTTAATATTCGATCAAAAACTAAGAGTAGGTTTAAGAGAGAGTTTAGTGGTCGACTAAAGACTAAATATATTTTGATACAGATTTAGTCTAGAAAATAATAGACTTAATCTATGTGAAAACGAATCTAAAAAATAATATATATATATATCAAAATCAAAATGTACCATATGAGTTCCAGACATAGAACATTAACCTATCAAAGTTCGTTTTGCAATTATATTAAATATGTTGACTCATTAACATCTCTTCTTGGTGTCCTTGTTGATCAAATGAATGAGCCAATGACATGGTTAATGACCTTTTGTCTTTGTACAACCGACTATTCATCTAAAGGTTGCAGTACCTCTTGGCCAGAGCACCATATGCATGTGTAGTTAATGTTCTTTTCTTGTTATAGATCCATTCTTTGCATTTTAGTTCTCGTTAATACTCTCATTTTCTTATATAGCTAGCCTGCCTTGGCACCTGTATACGTACTATTGTCAAATACATATGAAATGGGTTTTATTTATTTATTATTATTAAAAAAAAATTGAATTTGAGATCTCTTACAAAGAGAAGGATAACATCAGACGGATGTCAATCGAGTTCGAATTGGTTTATGGGAATAAATCTATCCCTGCTTTAAAGACGGGTGATGTTATAAATAGTAAAAAGAGAAAAAGAACTATTCATTCATGTACTTTGCATCAATGGAAAAGTACGATATTTATGATAATACTTAGATTTTCTTGATCAAGAGAGTTCACTCTACTCAACTTTATGTGCTTTAATAATTAACGGATAGGGTTGGGTTGGTATAATCTAATGAACTTGGGTGAACATATTTAAAGGTATAATTCACATAGGATTCCAAAGGTTAGCTTTGATTCCAAAGCCTTTAAGCTAACCTTTCATGGGTTCCCTCATTGACCTCTTGGGTATATGTTTAACATGCATGAAGAAAGTTTAATTGGTCAAAAAGTAACCACACATTTATTAGTGTGTCTGCTACTACACTCCATTATATAGCTTTTAGCAAGATTCTTTTTTTCCCTTTGAGCTTGACTTTATGTTATTTCATATGCTTTGTTGATGTTAGTGAAGTCAAGTACTTGCCCATTTAATCATATCACCCTGCAGGTGCATGTCCAAGTTGATGTAGCAATTATTTGTTTTAGAGGTTTTTGTGCCAAGTTTTCTCTTCATTGCCATGTTTGACCACGTTTTTTTTTTAAAAAAAAAACTTCATTTTCTTTTTTTGGATCTTGAAGATATGCTTAAATATCCAAACTGATCTCTCATTGTTCAATTGGATGTATAAGATGGATATAACTACTTAAGAATTTTTCTACATATATAAATATTTGAAACCAAAATCAATGATTTAAATAATTAAAATTCTTTTCGTTCAAACCAATCTTATTAGGTAGAAGAAACTTAATTTAATTGTATAGTTCTTCAATAAACATTAATTGGTTTAAGTCCGATGCTTGTCATCAATTGATCATAAAAATCTTAAGGAAGTGAATTTATTTCTAGAAAAGATGATGAGTATTATCACTTTTATCTATTACGTTACGTGATTAAAGATTATTTAATAGTGTTAGAAAGATTAAATGATTCAAAACTACCATGAACTATCTTTCAAACTACATTTAGTTCACAACTTCTTATTTTTTTCATTTGAATACGGCAAACCGAAACCATTTGTTTAAACAATTGACTAGAGTTTTTTTCGTTCAAGTCAATTTTATTACGTAGAAGAAACTTAATTTAATTGTATAGTTCTTCAATAAATATTAATTGGTTTAAGTCCGATCTTGTCATCAAATGACCATAAAAATCTTAAGAAAGTGAATTTATTTCTAGAGAAGATGATGAGTACTATCACTTTTATCTATTACATTGCATGATTAAAGATTATTTAACAATGTTAGAAAGATTAAATGATTCAAAACTACCATGAACTATTTTTCAAATTGAATTTAGTTCATAATTTCTTATTTTTTTTCATTTGAATACGTCGAGCTATATTTGGATATAAAATAAATCTTTTTCTTAATTTTGACAGTACATGAATATCTATATAAAAAAAAATAATAACACAAGTATCAAAACACATTTTATGCAAGTGTTTTTTCTTCTCTAATTAAATAAAAAATCCCTTCCTTCTAAACCGAACAAAAAAAAAACTAAAAATAAAAATCTAAATTTTCTTTTCTTTCACTGTCTTTCTCTCTGTCTTTTCTCTCCCACCATCACACACCACCAGTCGACCCGCTTCCTTTTTCAAACTTCTGTTAGTAAACCATCATCACCTTCTCTCCTTCATTCAAACTGCGAAAACGTACACCTCCTTTTCTCTTAATTTCTCCTCGGATTTTCTCTCATCAATGTTGGAAATTGCAGCCACAACAACAACATTGCATTTATTTGTTTTTGTTAATTTATTTATTTAATTATTTTTGTTTTTGTTCAGCTAGAAAAATAAAAAAAAAGGAATATATCATTTTTATAAAATGTGACGTAAATTTATGTATGGTGAAAATTAATAAAAAAATCTATTTTTCTACCAAAAATAGTTTGGAGTACTCGAATTAAAAAAATAATAATTAAAGATTATAGATCGTGTTGCAATTTCTACAATCCGAGATGTTGCATTTTTTTTTTTTTATTTGGCAATAAGAATGTTTTTGGATTGGTTTTCATATACCTCGAGACTTTTTTTTTTTTGTTTGATTGGTTAAGTGATATTCTTCAACACATGATTTTAGATATTTTGAAAATAAATTCTCAAAAATATTGATCATAAAGGTTAAACCCTAAATCTGATCTATAAGTCGACATTTGCTTATCAAAAAATTATAATCTTTTGGTTTTTTTACTTTGCTTTTTAACTTGACAAGGGCAGGACTTAAAGTACTTGATCCACTTTCTTTCCTTTGCTTTTTAAAAAGACGAGCATACAAAGCTAAATTTTATGATAAACGTAAAGAATTGGGCCTCGGATAATGTAAATTTTTAAGAAAACTATGAAGTTGATAATAGAAAACTTTATTCTACGAGAATTAAAGTGAACATTTTTAAATCCAGAGGGGCTAAAATATAGTTTACCAGATCGACAGCAAATAAAGAAAAAACTCTGTCACTTATCGAAATTCTTGAATCTATGGAAATTGATCAAGAATCGAATTCCACACTTGGCGCAATATGTTATTTTTACATTATGCAATTCAATCCAAGAAAGAAAAGACAATTGATTGGTGGTATTGCTCATAAAAGAAGAACACCAACATCTTTAACAATGATTTCTAAATGTCAGCTGGGCCCCTAAAGGCTATCAAAAACTACACAATTCAGTGGATTAAGTACAAGAATTGAAATTTAATCAACACTGTGATGGTCAATGGTAGCAAAAACAAGAGCACTTTTTTTTTTTTATCCAATTCAAGGCACGAGAATTAAATGGCTTAAACTTTGATAAAAGTTGTTTTTCCTTTTTCTAGTTTTTATAAGACCAAGCATGCTCGAATCATGTTAAAGTTTTTCCCTTTACTTCCTTTATAAGCCAACCACGTTCTTGCTAGTCTTTTTAGAAAAATTTTAAGGTACTACTACGGATTTATTTTGAAAAATATGTGTTGGAAAAATATAAAAATATTATCTGAAA